GTAGTAGTAGTAGTAGTCGAAGACGCTGAAAAACGCACATTCTCTGCTCCCAACATGACTTTAAACCCCGCAAGCTCAGGTTGGAGTTGTGCACGGAGACCGCGCAGAAATTCCTCGCGCCCCTGCACTTTTTGCTCGGTGTGTGTTTTTTTGTTTGAATTTTAGCTCTTTAGAGTGCAGGTGTTGGGGGGAGGGCCCGGGTATTAATAGGGGCACCTTTACAAACCCCACACCCGAAGCCCAACATCCGAATTCCCCAAACCATGGAACCCATCTAGAACCCTTGTGGAAGCTAGAACTTAGTAGCTGAATGAGTACACTTTACACTTTTTGGGATAACATGATCCCTTATAGAACTGAAAGTGTAGACACTTTTTGGCTTCTGAACTCAGCAACTAGGCCAACAAGAGCGCGGCAGGTACAGGGGAAGTACGAGCTTGCAGTGCCTGGAGCGCTCCAGAGCCGTCCACCCGGTGAGGGTTGCGGGGTTGGGCTTAAGGTTTAGAGTTTTAGGGTTTCGGGCTTAGGGCTTTAGGAGGACCACCCCTTCTCATTAGATTTCGTAATTATAGGTTTTCACAGGCTTTTGTAGGGCTTTGCAGGAGTCTTGTTAGCCTTTAAGGGTTCCTACAAGGACTCTATGAGGGCTTTGGGGTTTGATATAGAAGCCTGAATTATTACCTACATGATTCCTTAGGGCTCCTTGTTGCAATGATAGGATCCAGGAGCCCAAAGTCTTATTCCAATTATAAAGGCCCCTACATCGAAAGCGCGACTTCTGTCACCAGCCGCCCCACCCCCCCCTCGCCCCCCCCCCCCTTCTACATTAGGGGCTTTCGGGCTTGGGGCGTCTCGGGGTGGCTTAACCCTAAGCCCTAAACCCTAGGGGACGCATGCAGGTCCGGTCTCGGAATGAGGATTTTGATTCACGGTTTGGGCTCTGGGACTTCTGTGGGGTTCAGAGGTTTTGGGGTTTTGAGGTTTAGAGATTTAGATTTAGGGTTTAGGGCTTAGAGGTTTAGAGTTTTAGAGGTTTGGATTTAGGGTTTAGGGTTTAGGGGTGTAGAGTTGGGAATTTTATTGTTTGTCTGGGATTTCGCCAGGTTGGGTTTAGGGGGTGGTAAGTGGGGTTCAGTTAGGCTGGGACTTAAGACTGCGCGTCTAGAGGTTGGGGCCGGGGTTAGGATGTTGGTTCTGGGATTTAAGATTTGGTTTCGTGCGCGTGCCGGGATTGAAGGTTTTGGGGTTAAGCGTTGAGAATCGGATCTGAGTAGACAACGCAAGAACCCTATAGTGTTGCCACGGATTGCGGGAATGATCGGAGTATCACGAGTCATGGGAACAAATTGAAGCTTGCACAGTTCCCATTATCCCTGGTTCATAACACATATACCCCTAAACCCTAAACCCTAAACCCTAAACCCTAAACCATATACCTAAACCCGGCCAATGCCCTTAACCCCGCACCCCAAACCCTGAACTCTGCAAGCCCTATAACCTAAGCCCTTTCCCCTGGTTCCTAAAAACCCTAAACCCCTAAACCCTGAACCCTAGACCCTAAACCCCTCAACCCTTAACCCTAAACCCCTTGACCCTAAACCCTAAGCCCCTAAACCCTTAACCCTAGACCCTAAACCCTAAAACCCTAAACCCTAAACCCTAAACCCTAAAACCCTAAACCCTAAACCCCTAGACCCTGAATCCTAAGCCCAAGAGCCAGACAAGTCTGTGATCAGAGGCCTGAAGTTTGCGATCGAAGTCTTCGGATCGGAGGCATCGGAGCTGGCGCCCTCCTTGGCATCTTATTATGAGGGCTTTGGGGTTTAGGCTTTAGGGGGCTTAGGGCTTCAAGGTCTGTAGGATTTAGGGCTTGAGAGCTTCAGGGTGTAAAGGGTGAATTATGGCTTTCGGGCTGGAGGGCTGTAAGATTTGTGCTGTACGTAAGACTTTAGGGTGCAGGGTCATTCCGACTGTTGTGCACTATGACATTGTAGTTTCAACGTTTCTCGTTACTGCTGTTCTTGTATTGTTGAAATTCTACTGCTGCTGCTACTGCCACTGCTACCTGCTGCGGCTACGGCTATGGCCACTGCTACTGCTGCTGCTATTGCTACTGCTACTGCTACTGCTACTGCTACTGCTGCTGCTGCTGCTGCTGCTGCTGCTGCTGCTGCTGCTGCTGCTGCTGCTGCTGCTACCACGATGACGACGGCTACTACCACAACGACGGCTAGCGCTACCAGCGTAACTCTTGCTTTGATGATGATTATTGCTACCATATTCCTAGTGCTACTACCATTATCATTATCATCACGACTTCCAGTTTCTCATCGTCACCAGTGTCAATGAAGCATGATCTGCTCTTTCAATCTTTTTTTGTTGGCTTGAGGGGTCGGGAGGTTTAGGATTACATGGTTCGAGGGCTTTATGGTTGCTTCAAGGTTTTGTACAAAGACTTGCGCCGGCTTACTCAGCAGGAGTTTTCACAGAAGGTCTTCCGAGAGCTTCGAGTGGGTGGGTTCATGCCGGAGAGGCAGGTAATACCAGCAGTCCTAGTAAGAACAATAATGGCCATAAGAATCATACGATTGAGCAAAACTTTTCATCATCATGATAGTAATAATCAGGTTCGGGTGTTGGTTTCAGCATGGGAGGTTCAGGGCTGCAGTAGCTTTCGTCATCTTCGTAGCTTTGATTTTTTTGGGCCCCTAAACCCTAAACCCCCTTTGGAGTCGGTACAGGCTTGGGCAGGCTTCGAAAGGACGGTAAAGATCGGTGCTTCGAAGATCTTAGCGGTTTTGGGTTTTTGGGTTTACGGTTCAGCGCAATTTTGCTGGAGCTCTTCGCCTTTGGCCTTTGGAGCAGTCCGCCGTCCTTGAAAACGTGCAGCGAGGGAGCCAGTTCACATTTGTCCTTTCTTGACTGGAAGCCGGATCTTATACATGAAAACCCGAGAAAGCTTCAATCCTTAAGCTCCTTAAAGCAAAAGCCTTCGGTTAAAATGAACCCCACAATCCGAAGTCCGACAGTGCGGTGAAGAAGCACAGACTCATTCTAGGTGCCCTCGTACCTGCTCCTGGCTGAGGCCAGAGTGGGTTTTGAATTGTAGGGTCAGGGAGGGGCTTTGGAGCTCTCCAGTTTAGGGTTATAGGGTTTAGGAGAGGGCTTCGGGTTAAGGGTTCAGGGTTTAGGGCTTAGGGTTTAGGGCTTCGGGGCTTTGGCTCTGCTTGGGATGCTTGTCATTGTTTCTTTTCCTGAGTAGGTTTATTCGCAGCATGCTCTATGTGCCTTTTTTTTTGTTGTGGTGTTATCGGCTTTAGGTTGCAAGTTCTGTAGGACCTCAGACTTTTGGTGCGTGGCGCTCCCTCAACTCAAGGAGCGTTGAACAGAGTAAATATAGAAGCCTAAAGAACTAAACTTATAATACTATAAAGGAGCCCCAAAATCCCATTCTAATTGTCAAGACCCCTACATCAAGAGTGCAGATGTATGCTTTCCTGGATCAGGGTTCAGCTCTGAGGCGTAGGGTTTATGGTTTTGGGGTATGTGGGGGTATAGGGTTTAGGGTTTTTTGGGTTTAGGGTTTTTGGGGTTTAGGGTTTAGGGGGTTTGTGGCTTAGGGTTTTTGGGGTTTAGGGTTTAGGGGGTTTGTGGTTTAGGGTCTTTGGGGTTTAGGGTTTAGGGGGTTTGGAGTGTCAGGGTCTATAGACCCTAAACCCCAAACCCCCTAAACCCTAAACCCCAAAAACCCCAAACCCTAAACCCTAAACGGTTGAATGTACAGCCTGGTCCAGCGACCTGTAGGTCGGGTCCCTGGTGTCTCTAGCCCAACTTGCCCACAGGAAACGTACGGTCTTTAGGGGTTCCTTGAAAGGGAACCTTCGCAACACTCTACATGATGTTCACAGGCAGCGACATCCTTTGGGGTTTAGGGTTGAGGGGCTTAGGGATCCTTTGGGGTTTAGGGTTGCGGGGTTTAGGGGTTTGGGATGTTGGATGATTTACATGCATATCGAAGCCTCATCGAAACGACGCAGAGCTGTTCAACCTGGTCACTACACCTCAGACCCAAAGCCGTTGAGGTTTCATTTTACGGTTTAAATTAATGTAGAATCCAGCCCAGAAGGTCCTTTATACCCCAAACCCACAACCCCAAAGTCAATATCCTAAAACCTGGAACCTCGAAAGCCGAACTCCAACCAAAGACGCAGAGGCCAATCTGGGTCTCCGGCGCCTGAAAATCGCAGAGGCAAAGTCTAGCATCCTAAAGGTTTAGGGCTTCGAGCTATAAGCTTCAATAGAGGGTCTATACAGTTTAAGTGACTTTGGGCCTGAGTGTTCGAAGTTTCGGGTTTGGGGGGGTCGAAGTCGTTTAATCGGGTTTTCTGAGAGGTTTGGCCGACGGCCGGAAGTATGAGTTGATATAGGGGCCTCAATAAGTTCTCGGGCCCACTATGCTACAAGTATATTAAGGAACCACGAAATGGTATTGGTAATTATTTAGGCCCCTACATCAACACAATTTTATATTGCCAATAGCAGGGCTTCGGGGGCTAGGCTGGACGAGGGTTCATCGCTGAGGAGAAAGGTCCCCAAGGCTCCTTCAGTGTGCCTTTCGGTTCGAGTCTCAATGTCTGCTTTTGAGTCGTTGGCGCTTGAGGCCATAGCCTCCATAGCCCCTTAAAGGACCAGCCCTATACGCCCGTGACCGACGTAGCCGGAAGCCCTTAACCCTGGAGATTCAACCCAGTCCCACAGCCATACTTCAGGCGATCTCATTCCATGGTGTGGTTCTTTGGATCTTTACTTGCACCATCGCGAGCTGCGTCTTCTCTTAGCCCCTCTCTTTTCGGATTCATCTAGGGAGAAGGCTGGTGCTGCTTCTCCTGTTGTGTTTGCGACTATCTCAGGTTACTTCATCTCATGTTGTCGTGGTGTCTGGTCCATGCAGCCGGTTTTATTCTGACTTCCTCACTATATTTCCAGTTGATCATCTTGATTGACTGATCTCGGCTTTCCCAGAGAGCCCGGTACCCTTTTCATGAGGCATTCAGGCAACCTGTCTCGATTCATAAACGGATCCTTCCGTATCTGAAGGAATGCTGCTGAAGCAGCGAAGCCGGGTTGGGGCTGGACTTCCCTGCACTTTAAGTCGAAAGTCTGCAGACACTATACGGCCTAAGCCTACGTAACGTCAGAAGACATAGACGAAGTCCTCAGCATAGACGAAGTCCTCAGCAAGACCACGGCTTGCTTGAAGGGCCCCAGAATTGGCACCAATGCTACACAGAAGGTGTTGGCGTCGGCATATCAGACGCAGAAGTCCGCTCGGCCAAGGTCATTGGCCACAGGAAACAGCCTTTCCTGCATGTCGGCTCAGGTCAGCTGACGAGGATGCACATCCTATGTGGAGTCCCAACAAGAGCACCACTGTGTGGCACAATGGGGAGGCAATCAAGGTTGGCGAAATCCTGAGGCATGAGGATATCCTTATCATCGACCACTGTGCCTTGAAGAAAGGTGCCTTTGCCAAGGAATCTGCCAAGGTCTTCTGGCAGGCCTATGCGAGTGCGCAGGAAATCCTGGATAAATTTCGGCCAACACTATGCAGCAATGTTTTTTGACGCGGCCGGAAGAGGTCCCGTCAGACAGGTACACGAATGCATTTGAGTTTTGTGGCTTGCCCCGGACCTGCCTACCTATGAAGCTACTGGCCCAGCCACCCGTTTAATTACATGCGCATGTCTGTGTGTGTGTGTGTGTGTGTGTGTGTGTGGGGGTACATCTGTAAATAGATACGGCAAGGCACGAGTGTAGCTCACGCGACACAGGCCCACTTTCCTCCAATCCAGCATAAATATATCACTGTTGTAACAAACCCAATGTTTCGCCATCAAAATAGTACAACAACGTTGAGGTACACACCATAGTAAAGCCTGCAACCTCATAGGTCATAGAACTCATTGAAGCCCCAAGTGGGGGTTTCCGAAAACAGGGGACCCTAATATAGGGCCCTGAACACGAGGCTCCTTAAGCCCTATCCAACTAAGCCCCCAAATAAGGTAACCCCTGATTTTCGGAAGCCCCCAAGTGACGACGGAGGAGTTCCTGTCTTTGGCGAACTGGAACATCCTGAAGCATCCTCAGGCACTCCGAGGGTTCTCTCGAAAAGTAAGGGTTTCACGGTTTAGGGTTTAGGGTTTGGGGGTTTAAGGTTTAGGGTTTTAGGGCTAAGGTTTTTGTAAGGGTGGATGGTGTGTGAAGGGTTGTGCCAGGGCTTTTTAGTTCAATACGGTGTTTGCAGGGTTTGACGAGGGTTTAGGCGGTTAGTAAGGGGGGACTTTGAGCATTGAAGTGGTTTTCCAGATTCTGCGACTGAAGCTTTGCATTTTTGATTTGATTGTGAGCGGCCGCTAGTATCAGCCAGCAGTGGCAGGCACAGCTGCCGGAGGAGTTCTGGCAGACATGTGTATCTTTATCTTCTGAGTGTTAGGTTGTGGACCAAGTGCCGCCTCGAACACGCGTCAGCTTGCAAGATCAAACGCGCGCCAGGACTTCGGACAGAGCATCAGAGCAGCATAATTCTTGTAAACTGATCCTCGGATAATATAGGGGCCTTTATAATTAGAATAGGGCTTTGTGGTAGACTATACTATAGTTTTAATAAGGAGCCCCAAAATTAATATTGGTAATTCTTTTGGCTTCTACATGAGATGGTGCTTTGGGGGAAAGTCCAGCCTTAAAGGAAACTACAGGTGGGGAGATTAGGGTATATAGGGCTTCTATAAGGCTTCCAAGGTTTATAGACCTTCCATGATAAGGCTCCTATAGCGGTAACTACCCACCTGAAAATGTCAGTCACTGGAAGAAACCTCGGATGAACCCTAAACCCCAAATCCTAAACCCTAAACCCACCTGAAAATGTCCTAGACTGGAGTAGGCTTCTGGAAGAGACCTCGGAGCCCTAAATTCCAAAAGATCAAGCCCTGGGTCCCTCAACATCTATCAACCGTAAACCCTACCCATAGGCCCCGTAGTAGTTCCTTTTGGGGATTACCTAATAGGATCCTAAATTGAAGCCACAAGAAGGAACTATTATGGGGCCTATGGGTAAAGCCAACAATTCTAAACCCTAAAACCCAAACCCCAAGCCCTCAAAACCCTCAACACCAGTGGAGACAGGCCTCGTCCTCGATGATGTCCAACCTCCAACGCAACTTTGGGCGGCTCTACGCAGCCCAACAGCGCTACAACGAGGTGAGTCGAGGGTGTGGTGTTCCGGGGCTCTAGGATTTGAGGGCTTCGGTTTCAGGTGTAATTAGTCGTAGTTCTTCTGGGTTTTAACGGTTGGGTGTTTTAGTGTTTAGGGCCTACATGGCTTAGGATTGTTGGAGCATTGGGATGTGGGGTTAGGACGGTTCAGGGTTAGGCTCAGGGTTTGGGGTTTAGTTTTGTTGTAACGTTGTTTGTTGAATGATGCTTCGGATTTGGTTACCTAGCACTTGACGTAGAGCTCAAGGCTTTGAGGGCTGCGGGTGTTCTCTGCAAAGCTTCGCTTTGCTTTTTGGAAAGTATTTGGCCGAGCTTAGGTAGCATATTCTGCTGGGTAGAGTATGTAGAGCTAAAGGGTCTTGTAGGGTTTCAAATAAAGGGGGTACTATCAGGGTTCCTTAGGAAGAAGGGGTGTTGAACAAACCCGGCTTCCAGCCTACTCTGTCCCGTTATCCTCCAAGCCTCCAAGTACCAGGGATCTATCTAGGGCTTGGCTTCTACAGAAAAGGTTTGGGGTTTGGGGTTTAGGGCTTAGGGCGATGCACGAACTCTAGGGCTTCAGCCGGCTTTGGAGTACATGTAGCTAGTTCGCGTTCATCTAAGGGTTTTAGGAGGGACCCTTAATAGGGACCCTTGTAGGTTATTGGGGTTTATATGGAGACTACCTGGCTATATTTGGGGTATACAAGGACTATACAATGGTTATTTAAGGTAATGGGATTATAAGGGTCCCTAGTAGGGGTCCATGTTTTAGTATGACTAGATAGGGAGTGTAATGCGAACTAAGTACACTACAGACATATATACTTAAGCCCTGCACCCAAACATGCGACGGCACTCGGGGCACAAACCCTGAAGCCTTAACCCCAAATCTCCAAAACGGCCCAAACCCCTACACCAATAAGTCTGGGTCCTTGTTGGATCCAATCTTACATTTTTGCTGTAATAAAAAAAACCCAATCAGGATTAAACCTGATCATGTTTAATATATCCCCAACAGTAACAGGGAACCAGAGATCCCCAAATCTGAGCCTAAACCATTAAACCCCAAACCCCTGAACGACTCAGCCAGAAACGCTCTAAGCCCCGAGCCCCCAGGCCCTTGACCTGAGACCTTTCATCCCTTCGGGTCTGTGGACACCCCGGGGCCAAAGAGAACCCTAAACCCTAAACCCTAAACCCCCAAAGATAGAAAGCCTGGGTGAGGGATTCGGAGGGTTCAGGGGGTTTGGGGGGTTTGGGGGTTTAGGGTTTGCTCCGGGACGGGATGGATCTGAACACAGTTAAAGGCGTGCTTCGGCTGCCGGCCGATTTGGCAGTACCAGAGTTTCTTGCATTCTTCGCGGCCCTCTGCCGCGGAAAGCGTGACCTTCATCGCGAGCTTTGCCTCGCAGCTTTGGCGTCGTCCCGAGGACGATTCTGCGTGGCTTTCCACTACGAGCTGGTCGCTGGTCGGGACTCCACGACCCCGACATGGGTAGTTGTCAAAATTATGGTCCCTTTTGGGGTAAAAGGTGCCGTATTATAATAAGGACCCAACAAGGGACCATAATTTTGACAACCACCCACATGAGCCCACATGTTCCCTGCCGGCTACATGAGATCATGAAGGCAATGGAAGCCGAGCTCAATATGAGTAGTTCTCTAAATTAGGGTCCCTGGTAGGGTCCTTTTTATAAGGGTGCCGTACTATATTGGGGGCCCAAAAAGGGACCCTAATTTAGAGAACTGCTCAATATGGCTTCGAAGGATGATGGCTTGCGCCAGTTTCCGGAAGCTTCGATTCCGAAGCCCTAAACCCTAAACCCTAAACCCTAAACCCTAAACCCTAAACCCTAAACCCTAAACCCTAAACCCTGCTGAAGGAGACCTCCGGCCTCAGACCGTTCGGAATCGCTTCAGCTCTCGGCCTCTACCTATAGTTTCCATTGTAGTTCCTTTTTTAGGGTTTAATCAATTATAGGGTTTAGGGTTTAG